CCAAGCGAGGTACAATTGACGTAATATAAAAAGAGAAGGAATATAAAGGAGCATTGATACAAAAGAATAATAACATGGCCATATAAATTTTCTAACAGAAACATAATAAAGATAAATTAGGATATTTTAAATTGTCAATAAGGCAGTGTAGTGAAGAAATTAAATATTTTATAACATTACCCAATCTTTAAAAGCGTCCACAATTTGATGAATTTCACTATAAGATTCATGAGCATGTGAAGGCTCATCGTTTAAACGTTCGACGGCCAACTTTCGTTCTTCTTTTGTAAGCCAAGAGGCAGTTTCTGCACTGTCTGGGATTAAATAGTAAGAGAACAATGCTACAGCGCAAGTAAGCGAACCATCAATGATGAATACCTATGATTTTAAAAAAATTGTATATTTTTAAAAGAAGTCGAGATTATTATGATTTTAAAAAAAAATTGTATATTTTTAAACGTACATACCCATTGCCAACCATATAATCCATTTACATCATGTAAAAGAGTCGTGGCAGAAAACGACATTAGGCCACTAAATGCGCCAGCAATTGTGGCAGCCGAGCAAAATAAACTAATTCGATAATTTTCCTCGGAATTCTTATACCATTTTGTAATGTAAAATATGACGCCTGGAAAAAACCCGGCTTCAAACGCACCCAATAAAAATCTTAATATCATTATGTGGATAAAATTTTTTGCCTAAAAAAAATAAAAGTTAATAATAAACCAAAACATTAGGAACTTTTGTAGAATAATTTAAAGGATGATTAACTATTAAATGCTTACTGCTGCGGTGGATATTACTATTATACCACATGCAAGCATAATAGATGAAACTATAAAAAAAGAATCATTAAACAATAATTAATAAACAATAATTAATAAACAATAATTAATAAACAATAATTAATAAACAATAATTAATAAATAATAATTCATAAAGAAAACTAACTCCAAATTGAAGGCCTGGTATTCATTAATATGACATTCGACGGTACTTCAAATAATACATAAGCTCTGCAAATATAAATAACCAAAAAAAATAAGAAAATATAAAAATATAAAAATAAATAAA